CTTTACCCTTTCAGTGTATTGTCCATTTCTGATATTTTATTATTAATCATCTGGACCTCTTTTTGCAGCTTTTAAATTGTTTCCAGTCAGTGCTGTATCAATCTTATTTGATTGCTCCTTTAGTACTTTCCTTACTTTTTGCTTGTTTTCCTCCACCCCTTTTTGGTGCATTTGAATTTGTTTCCATATCATTCTTCTGAATTATTTCTCAGACATATTCAAAACCTGCTCTTCCTCTTGTAGAAAGCCCTTTTCTGTCTCCTGCTCACTTGTCTCAGCTACTCTCTTCTGTTTTTGGATATGTTTCGATATTGTTTATTGTTTTTTATTTGTCATTTCTGATATTTTTATGTTGTTTTTAAAACTTAATTGGATGTTTGTTGTTTGTTATTAAGCTTACTAGAAGTCTCCTGGTGAATATGATCACGAGATAGGCATCCCTTTTTGCATGTAATGCTTAGCAGGTGTTGTTGACTCTTGGCTCAGTGGTGGAATATAATGGGGTATGCTTATAGCTTGGCTATATGGCCACAATTGCTGTCTCTTCTTGGATAATGTAGCAAGAAAAGGCTCCCGCCTCCAGGAAAGATGGGTGATCAAAAGGACCAAAAGCAAAAGTAATATAAATGAAGGGACAAATACCATCATTTTGGAACAGAAATGAAGCTGTGGTCGACTGTCCTGAGCTACAGTCAGTGTGTGTGCAAGGTAGAAGCCTCCCGCAGTGGGTGAGGGTGTCCGCTTACTCAGGCCCCTCAGTACAGTAGAGGTGCGCAGGTAGATATTGAGAAGTTAATGGGAGAAAGACTGTCCACTATTTTTGTCTCTGAAGGTCAGTTAGGTGTCTGCATGTGTATAGCGCATTTCTCAAGCTGGTTGAGTCCTTTTATTTTGGGGTTTTACAGATTATATTATAAGGGTCCTGCACACAGAGCCTAGGTAGTGCAGCGGCCACGAATGGGGCCACGAACCACAAGGTCAGCAGTTTGAAACCACCAGTTGCTCCGCAGAAGACAAGGCACTCTGCTTCTGCAAAGACCCATAGCCCCGGAAACTCCGCGCAGGATCGCCTGGAGTTGGAAATGACTCTAAGAGGCACAGCGACCAAGGGTCTAGCTCAAATCAATCTTGGGCTGTATCTCTGCAGCTGACATCCTTAGTGGCCACCAAGTTTCGGCTCTCTGTACCGTGGGGGAACTGCAGGGTCAGGGCTGTTTTTTGGGGTGCAAGTCCACTTGCCTGATGGCGTCCTGGCTGAGCGAAGAAGGAGCTCCAGGGAAGATGCGGGAGAAATGTGTAGCATCTCCAGCACCTCTTTATGCAAGTGTCTCTGCACCACTTTTAGGGCAGGTTCACTGAGCCAGAATGGCTGTAGCCCCACCCTCTAAACTCTGCCAGGGTGGGGTAGCCACAGAGGGAGTCCCTTCTCCCAATTCCTAAATCGCAGTGTTTTCCTTAATATCGTGATTTATTTTACTTGCCAGTGTGGGAAGATCCGGAGCTCTGGAGTTGTTCTGTGAGAGCTTCTTGTGTGAGATCTCTGTCCCTCTCTAGCACAGAGATTTCCCTACCTGACTTTCTCCACTGACGCCAACACCGTAAGTCCCCTGGAAACCACTTTTAATGATACTGGGGGA